TTCACTTACATTGTATCATCAGGGAAGTGGAAGTTCTAACAGTGGGACAGAATTATTCACTTCCAGGACACAGAGTAAACACCTCTCTCCATACAAAGGCTGATGTGACACCCCTGTTAACAGCAACACGTGCTAAAGAGCTTGACCAGGTGGCTCCAGCAGCAGCACAACACTAATTCTGTGGACTCAGAGTACAGAGCGCTGCCAACCCAAACCTGCCTCCGCTTCCCACAGCACGAGCTCTTCCCTGCTGAGCATCCAGGCACCGGCCTAGCCCCGTGGAGAGGAGTTTGCTCAGGCTCATGGAAGCCTGTCCTAAGATAAGGCAGGCAATGCCTTGGAGCTGCTGGGTGGGAAAGATCAGCGACTATAAAACCATGAGCAAAAGTGTTCCCAAGCAGCCTGAACAATCTCCCTCTCCTCGGCTGAATTTAGCTGTTGAGAGACACAGGAGCCTCTGTTTCATTGACATGGGGGAAGCGAGTTTCTGGAAGAATGAGGGAATGCATCCTATGAAGGGGAATTTACAAAACAAACATAGTAAGTTTAAGTGTTCCACTGAGACATGATTTCTAGCTAAGCGTTTAACCTCATAAAGAGTGAATAGGGAGAATTATGGAGATGCAAGATGACTATGAACATCATAACAGTACTGAAGGCCACAATACCTACTGGAGGCTCTGCCTCTACCTCTTTCAAGCAGCCTAGCCAAGCTCATTTGTTCTGCTTGAAACCACTGAAATACATCTGCAGCCTGATGAATGGGAGAGGGAATTATACTGCCACCAGAGAGGCAAGAAAGAGAGAATTGCTTTTTGACCAGAACACAAAACCTTCAAGGGAAGCAAGACTTTAGTAGAAAACTATAGGCTTCAATATATCAATGTACAGAAGACTAGCTAAAGGCATTATACAGAGGCCTGTTCCTGCCAGAGCTGACATGAGAACAAGGCTGAAGATAAACAGTAAAAGAGGTCCTGGTCCAGCTCCTGTTCTGCTTCAATACAAGTTTTCATAGTAGGATATTCAAAAAAGTAATAAAAGTAGGGTTTATCTCTAGAAAACTATCTACAGAGGAATAGATGCCAAGTATTCCTGATTCATTTCATTCCAGAAGTTTACCAGGTGTCAGTCTGCACAGATCATTTGAAATCTGTGTATAGTTTTGTACAGCAGAGGAAAAAAAGCCAGTATAAAAAGGCTGTTCTCTATCCATGCTATGAAAAAAAGCAGATTATAACAGGAAATAATGCTTTATTATAAAATCTGCCTGTAAACAAGTAACAAATTAATTGAATAACAGTTAATGGAAGTGCAAATTAACTTCATAAAATGATATTTATTCTGTATTTAAGTTTATATATATAATTTGCTTTCTCCCATTCTAAGGTGGTTCTACCCTCCCACCCTACACTTAATTTTAAAAAGATTTAACATTGTTTGCTTTATACTAAAAAGAGTGTACGAGCCTGCGTACATTTTTCAAGTTTTGCTCTGCAAATGAGAAAAGTCTGAGGTGATACTTCATTTTCTATCATCCTTTATCTGTGCATCTCTGGTATCCACAGGACAAGAGGACATCATATATGTACACAGTGAAAGTGTGGGCTTGGGAAGCCACTTGTTAGTTCATTTACTTGCACATATTGAAACTTAAGCAATTTATCAACGAAGCAGACACTGTAACACAACTTCCAGTCTTGCTTGTGCACCTTAAGGCATTTAAGAGTCTCAGACAGTCATTCTTTTATCACCGTGAGGATGATCCATACACTTTTGAGAACAGTCAAATGCTTCTCCAGCAGCCATGTACAACATCTGGCTTTGCTGAAAACTTCTAAAGCACAGATAAGTCATGGCAAGATTTTGATTTTGCTTTGAAAGCCATCTTCTTGTTGTTCTTGGCCACAATTCTCCCAAGAAAGCGCTTTGCCTTTTTGCCTATGCTTTCTCTTCTTTTCGTGTTGGCCATCCTCCTCGCGTTGTCTTCCTTACTGTCTTTGCGCAGTCTGATTTGCCGAACGATACCTTCAAAGAGGTCCTTGACGTTATGGTGAAGAGCAGCTGAGGTCTCAATGAACTTGCAGTCAAATACCACCGCACAGGCTCGTCCCTCTGGATTGGAAGAGAAAATAGGGACCTGAGTGGAAACTGGCATTTTCTATTTATTTATACTGGCAGAGAGGACTATATTTGACTTAGAAATAAGGAGAGAGTATTTATTACCACAGGAGAGCTTTGTTATATGGTAGGAAGGAACAAGTTTGCAGTGATGGTTTTGACACTTCATTTATTGTTGTGGTATTGGCAGGAATATGACCTGACTATGGGAACTGAACATAAAGCAACAATAGTTCTGTAGACAGGCTGTCACTAGAGGCCATGAAGTTGTAGATTCTGGGTTTAATTAGGACTGCATTGACAACAGAAGATGCTCAGTCTCTGATGTTCCAGGGATAACTATGCAACTCCAAAACATGCAGATTTCTATGTTTGCCATGTGGCAAATAATGACAAAGTGACAAATCTGAGCAAAGTAGTGGCATCACTATCCATGCACTGCCATCAGCCTGAAAACGATCTCCTGATAAGCTCTAATCAGTCCCCTGCTCAGGCTACTGAGCATTTAACCCAGGGAACGGCAGAACCAGGCCTCTTCAGTTCATATTGGGCCAAAATAAATCCTACACAGAGCAATACGCTGGAGCTGCAGCCCTGAGGCATTCTCTTGCACTGCAGCTCAGAGCATTACTCTGGCCAGCACAGCCAGAAATCCTCTACCACTATCTCCATCACTTTTCCACCATACAGAATCCCTCAACACAGACCTGTTGGCATGATGTCTCAAGTGTGCCTCAGATTATACATTTTTCTACATCAAAACTGGACTAGTTTTACTAGATCAGGATCCTCTGAAGCCTCTGCTGCCAATTTAAATATTACTGTAAAATTAGTGTTTCTTACCATCAACTGAGACTTCCCGGGATCTGACCAGGTCACTCTTATTGCCCACAAGAATAATAGGAATGTCTTCTGTTTGCCTTGCTCTTCTTAGCTGGATTCTTAGCTCAGAAGCCTTTTCGAAGCTAACTTTGTCTGTCACTGAATATACAATAATATAAGCATCTCCCATCTTCATACAGTGATTCTGAAGCCATTGACTGTCATCCTAAAACAGAAGGCAAAAGAATAGACTTGTTATATTTGCAATGCAATAACTGTAACTAATGATTTAATTATTGCAAGCAACAAAGATTTCTTGTTTTACTCTAGAGAGTCTCTAAAAATAAACCAATTTCCACAAAGTGTTCCTAAAAATTTCCCATTTTGAACACAGATCACAAAACAATTCTCATGCTTCCAGAAATATGATCAGATCCGGCACTACAGAGCACGACCCCCTCATCTGACTAGCATTTCTCGGGCTGCTCGCAGCAATGAGAGCTTCTCCCTCAGGGCTTGGGGCTGCCCACCCTGCTGGCAGCGGCTGCAGGGCGCTGAGGCAGCGCAGAACAAGCCTGTGTTTAGTGTTACCGGTCTGGTGCAGTAGGTAACTAGGCAGAATTGCTCCGTTCCCATATACATCTCTATAGTGAACCGCGGGCCAGTCTAAAGAGAAGCAAGAAATCGGCAAGTACCTGCTCCCATATGTCGAACACCACGAGTGAGGCTTCCTCGCCGTCAACCACGAGGGACCGGTCATACGTGTTCCCTAGGGGCAAGCGTAGCAGAGTCAGCCCAGGTGCCCATGCGGAGCTGCGGGCGCACACGCGGGACCGCGCTCCCCACCCGCGCTCACCAGCCTCCTCCGCGTCCACGCAGTCCTCGACACCGCCGAAGATGCGCGCCAGGCTGGTCTTGCCCACGCCGTGCTCGCCCAGCAGCATCACCTTGTAGACGTTGCTGTCCGAGTCGCTGCCCGAGGAGACCACGGAGTCGGAGGAGTCGGAGGCCCAGCTGTGGCGCGGCGCCTCGCCGGGGCTG